CGCATGCAGTGCGTGCCCACGCAAAGGTCCCCCCCCCCCTTACCAGCAGCTGCCACTGCGTACAAGAAGCAAGTGGTGTTCCTATGACAGCACCTGGAGCCAGGCTGGTGGAGAGCTCTAACTGCCGTGCTGAGTAGCCCCAGTCTCTAAGGCTGCCGCCTCTGCCTTGTAATGTCAGTTGGTCTTACATCTCCTAGAAGCCCCACCAGGTGGGCAGCTGCAGTGGGGGCTTGCTTCTATCCTCACATGCTGGCATCTGGGCCAGTTCTCGGGGACAGCTGTGGCATGGAGCCACTCACGGGTGGCTAACATGTGGTGATAGTTCGTATGTGCTCTAACAAATAAAGCTTGCCCGAGGATCAGAGTGTAGCATGAGCCACTAGTTAGCCATAGAGGCCAGGCAGTGGTGGCACACACCTTAAACCCAGCACTTGAGAGCCAGAGGCCAGTGGATCTCTATAAGTTCAAGGCCACCCTGAGGTACACTAGATTAATTCAGTCTCTAAGAGAAACAGAGTCCGGCGGTGGTGGCTCACATCTTTGATCCCAGGACTAGGGAGGTGGAGACAGGAAGTGATATGACTGGGTGAAGAGAGGAATATAAGGCAGGAGGAGACCAGAGCTCAAGATTTAGTCTGAGGTTTCATAGAGATGGCATTCAGTCTGAGGACTTACAGAGATGGGATACCCCATTCGGGCTGGAGATTTCATAGAGGTAAGAGCTAGGGGCTGGCTGCTTTGCTTCTCTAATCTTTCAGCTTTCACCCCCATTAGGGGTGATTAGATATTAATCTGACTCTGAGTTTTTATTATGAAGACCAATTAGAATTGCATTACACTAACACCTTGGGAATGTCTTCTCTTATGATGCAGAGGAAAGTGGAACAAAGGCATCAGCATGTGTTTCCCCTGGGGGCTATGTAAGCAAAGAAGTGATGGTTAATAGTGTCAACCTGACAGGGTGTAGACTCGCCTAGGAGGCATGCCCGGAAGGTTACTTCTAGACTAGGCTAACTGATGCGGGAAGACCCACTCTGAATGTGGGTTGGTACCATCCCATGTTCTGCACCAAAAGGAGAAAGTGAGCTGAGTACCAGCATTCATCTCTTACTGCTTCCTGAGTGGGGATGGCATGGGACCAGCCGCTTCACACTCCTGCCGCGATGGACTGTACCCTCAAACTGTGAGCCAAACACTCCTTTCCCTTAAGTAACTGTTATTGGTATTTAAGTCCCAGCAATGAGAAAAGTAACTAATGCAGGCATTGTCCTGACATTTCTCCTTGGTGAGTGGCAGCCATGTTTACCTGCACACGAATGTGGGTTCTCCTGCTGGGACTTTTGCTTCCAGCTTCCCCTTTGTGAGGACACTAACTGTTTAGATTTGGCCCACCTTTATGACCTCTTTTTAACTTGGTTCTGTTCACAGAGACTCTTTCCTCCTTTGTATGTGTGTGTGGTGAGTATGTGATCATGCATATTTTTTGTATGTGTGTGGACATACGTATGTGGGTATCTGTGCATGTATGTGCACATACATATGAAAGCCGGAAGTTGAGCTCAGTTTGATCCATCTTCCATCTTATTCACCGAGGCAAGGTCTCTCAAACCTAGAGCTCGCCAATAATGGCTGCAGTTCCCCCCCCCCGCCCCCAAGACCCTTTATGAATGAGACCACACTATGAGGATCCAGAGCTCAGACTCCAACATGTGCTAATGGGATGGACAGTGCACTCCAGACAGCTCCTAATTACATGGTTTTATTTCCTGGCATATTCTATCTGAGGTTTAGATCTGGGTCCCCAGGGCCCAAGACTGAGTGGTACCCAAAAATATCCTCACGCCTCACAGAGGTTCATACATCCAAGCAGAATGCAGCAGCTTCTAGAGGAAGCATTACACAATGAGGTTACAAATGACCGGAGGGAGATAACTCGGGGTGGAAATTAGCCGTTCGATGTTCAAAATGTGTACTGAGCATCGATTTTCTCTAAGAACACTTAATCACCCCTTATTACATATTGGGAAAAGACGGATAAAGCTATTGTTTCTAACCAGCAAGAACTGAGCAAGATTGCCGGCTATGAACATGCAGGATGGATGGGGGAGCCCAGCATAGGTACCTATAGTGAGGCTGGGTGTGCCACCAAGGTGAGGCCCATACCTGGATGGCGTCCTGAGGCATCCCAGCACCCAGCCTGTGCTGATAAACACTGGGCTCAACACCAGGCATTGTAAACAAGGATATCTCTGAACCCCAAGGCCAGCAACAGCAGTCCCACAAACCAAGGGACATCTCTGTTGGGAGCAGATGATGTAAGAGAAACACCTGCAGGTGATTGGAGCTGAGCCCCTTACCCCAGTCTGTGTGGCTCCAGTCCACTCACCCACGCTGGGAAAGCCAGCCTCTGTCTGGCCACAGAGCCGGGCATCTCCAAGGAAGAGTGTACATTTCACCATCTTCAGTGGAGATTTTGCAAGCCTCCACTTGCAAAATTTCCAGTCCTTGGATCCGAGCTGCTTTTCTCCCCTGTTCAGCCCATGGAATAGATTTAAACACCCATTGTTCTCACCCAAGAAAGTGATCTATGCTCACTAGAAGTCCTTCTAGCTCTTGGTCTTCCCTACCTTAGTGACGAGCTCTCCAGCTCTCTGACTTGAAACTACTCAGCACCCAGACCACCAGGCATCTCCAGTTCGTGTGAACTGCGGGGGGCACGGGTGGAATACATGTAGCTTTGCTGAAATCTAGAAGCTCAAGCAAAGTTCAAATGCACCCATAGCCTGTTTCCAGCTGGGTCACATGGCATGAAGCCTTACTTCCCAGGAGCAGAGAGAGGTGCCAGGGCTGTGAGCACCCGAGAGTGTCAGTTTCTCTGCTAGGAAGGATGGGACTGTCGCATGAAAGTGGACCTTTAAATATCTCCCGTCAAATGTATCTTCATCTTTTTGTACTGTGTTTAACACATCAATTTAATATAAAACTTAAGGCGTGTGTGTGTGTGTGTGTGTGTGTGTGTGTGTGTGTGTGTGTGTGTGTTGTATACAGATCCCCAGGAACTAGAGTTACAAGCAGTTACAAGCTACATATGGGTGCTGGGAAACAAACTTGGGTCCTCTACTAGAGCATCCAGACTCTAACAACCTCTCCAACTCTACAGCCCTGAGCTGTATTTTTTTCCCCTTGGTTTCCTCTATGTTTGGCTCTTACTCATTCCCAAACTTTCCTCTAACTGATCAGATCTTGTGACATACTCATTGGGATCACAGAAGTTAGGAATCTCATTGGCTGTCGTTAGTTTCTTCCTCTGTGCTGAAATTTTGCCTCCTTGAGGGAGGAAGTTAAGGAACGCATCTGGCTTGGGAAGCTGGAAAGCTAGAGGATTCCCAAAGCTGGTCCCCAAGTTTACAAAGCAGCAACAACATCTGGGGAGGAAGAGGCTCTTGAGTGGAGCTGACTGCAAACTGAGAGCTCCAGGAACACAGCTTGCACGAGTCCATCCCACACTCTGTGGGGTGGGGTGATGATTGAAGCCACTTTTGAGGCCCCCATGCTCCTGTCTGTCACCCCAATGAACTCACTGGCTCATGAATCATTTCTTTGTCTGTCATGGGTGCCCTATCTGGAGTGAACAGACATTTGTTTGCAAAAGTCACACAGCATCGTTGCTGGGAGTCTCCTAGGTTCTCCCTGCACTGTGCCCCCATGCCTGAAGTCTGGACCTGTTCCTTGTATCCCACCATTTCGCCCCTGGCTGCATGGAGCACGTCCCACATGGTTTCCCAAGCGTGACCATAAAGAGTACATGTTTTGAAGACTCTAATGTGTGGGGACACTGGATCTGTAACTAGGCTGGGCACAGAGCTCAGGTCTGAAGTCCCTTCTGCTCAGATTATTCCAGTCACTTCCGTGAGGCTGCTGTGGGCCCGGACCCCACTCCCAACTCCCAATCCATCATTGAAAAAACTCCAGGCAGGAACCTGATGGCACCTTCTCTTGTCATTCCACACAGTGTTATCCCCAACCAAGTTACTCACTTCACAGACAAAGAAACATGGCAGGAACCATGGAGCATACTGACTGTGGGACGGCGGGTTCGTGCTCAGCTAGCAAGCTTCCTTATATAATTGAGGATCACCTTCTCAGTGCCGCTGACAGTGGGCTGGGCTCTCCTGCACCCGTTAATAAGTACAGGCTCCCCAGCTATGCCCACAGCTCAATGGGATCCTTCAAGTTTCTCAACTGATGTTAAAGTTAACCAGGACAACCTTTTCCTCTCTAACTCCCCTCTGAGTAGATAGCATTTGAATATGCACTGATCATGTAGCTTGTTATTGTCCATTGTACTGGTCTCTTCTAGTATGAAGATAGATGCTCTTTTAGAAGTTTCGCGAACTAATTTGCAAACAATCCTCCTGGATTTTCTCCTGCAGCTCCCTGCCCCTGATAGTCACATGTTAGATTCCCAAGCCACGTTCTGAGTCATTCCCTCCTGTGTCTTCATGCTCTTTGTCTTTAGTTCTTACCCACATCTTTCTTTAAACTCCATGCTTGGGTGGCTAGAGAAATGGCTCAATGGTTAAGAGCGCTGTCTGCTCTTGCAGAGGACGTGGGTTCAGTTCCTAGCACCTACATGGTGGCTCACAGGCACCCTTCACTCCAGCTCCAGAGATCTGGTGCCTTCTTCTGGCCTCCTTGGGCACTACACTCTGTGCACTTACCCACACATAAACTTACGACTGGTACCGGTGAATGATTTCTCTACCTTCTTGGTAGATCTACATGTATGACTTTCTGGTGTGGTTGAGGGAATGTCCTAGTATGCTCCAGCAAGTTCTATGACTCATGAGCCTTGGGAGAGGGCTTTGCTTCCTCTTCCATGTGTGGTCCCAGTAGGGCCACCGCCCCGTACACTTTGACAGCAGCAGCTGAATCGGGCCCAACACCTCTGAAAGCTGAAGTCTAACACTGTGACCCTTTCTCACCCCCTCCATCCACAGAGCCAAGGTGAAGAAGGGGGTGAACATTCTGAGCGCACAGACCAGCGAGCCTCGGCAGTGGGATGTGAGACAGGAGGTGGGCAATGGAGGGAAGCACACCACCACCTCTGTGGCCTGCCAGCGCCTGGGCCCCGGGACGCGCAATAGGTAAGTAGCCCCTCCAGGGCACTCTGATTTTGCATCCAGTTTTATCTGGCTTCATCTTGACCACTGCTGGCCCGGATGTTAAACCCAGGACCTAATGCCCGCTGAGGTACCAAATAACCAACAATAAGTGCCAGCATGTGTGGTTTCCAGCCTTGTGCTCCTTAAGCATTGGGAAAGAAATAACGTCACACCCTGCTTTGTCACCTGAACTTGTTGCTGTGAACTTTCAGAGGGTGCTGTGACAAAATGCTCAGTCCTGTGCCCATGTTAGATTTACTCACTGGTGAGAAGGAACAGAGGGAAGGGGAGGATAAACTGGAATGCTATGGAGAGGCTGTGCGAGGCTCTCCATAGACACTGTGGGTTACCTCTGAAGGTGGTTGTTTTATGGCTATGAGACCAGTACACCTGCTGCTTTCGAAATCAAAACTCGGACACTTGAAGGCATCCTCTTACCTGCTGCTGAGACATGGGCTCATCTCTTTCCAGGGTCTTGCATACACAATCTCCATATACAAAATATCCATAGTTAGGTACTTGTCTTAGAAGTTTAGGATCATAGTATCCAGTTGGGGTTTTACAATGGTTTTGTTTTCATTCATATAGGAGACATTTCATTTTGACTTTAAGTACTTCTTACAGACAGTAGTAATGGCTACATAATATCCCACCATAAGCCTTTAACTTAATGCCAGTAAACAGTAGTGCTTTTCCATTTATTTATTTATTTATTTATTTATTTATTTATTTATTAAAGATTTCTGCCTCCTCCCCGCCACCACCTCCCATTTCCCTCCCCCTTCCCCAATCAAGTACCCCTCCCTCGTCAGCCTGAAGAGCAATCAGGGTTCCCTGCCCTGTGGGAAGTCCAAAGGCCACCCACCTCCATCCAGGTCTAGTAAGGTGAGCATCCAAACTGCCTAGGCTCCCACAAAGCCAGTACGTGCAGTAGGATAAAAAACCCAGTGCCATTGTTCTTGAGTTCTCAGTATTCCTCGTTGTGCGCTATGTTCAGCGAGTCCGGTTTTATCCCATGCTTTTTCAGACCCAGGCCAGCTGGCTGAGACAATGGGGATGTTCTAGTAGTGCTTTTCCTAATCAAGGCTGTTTAGAGGTTTGAGTTACCTAGACCAGTGGTTCTCAATCTGTGGGTCACAACCCCTTTGAGGGGGCGGGGCCAAGCAATCTTTTTACAGGGGACCCCTAAGCTTAAGACTATTGGAAAATACAGATATTTGCATTATGACTCAAAGCAGTAGCAAGATTACAGTTATGAAATAGCAATGAAAATTATTGTATGGTTGGGGGTCACCACAACATGAGAAACTGTATTAAAGGGTCACAGCATTAGGAAGGCTGAGAACCACTGTCCCAGATAATGCTAAACAGTGAGCTTCTTTCCACAAAAATCTCTCTTTAGTACACAAAGAAAACAGAGGACTGAAGTGGGTTTTCTAGCTTGGGTTTCTGTTGCTGTGATGAACACCATAACCAAAGCAACCCAAGAAAGAGCGAGTGTTTATTTGGCTTCCAGATGACACACTATCACTGAGGGAAGTCAAGACAAGAACCCAAACAGTGCAGGAACCTGGAGCCAGGAGCTGATGCAAAAGCCATGAAGGGTGCTGCTTACTGACTTGCTCCTCATGGCTTGCTCAGCCAGCTTTCTTATAGCGTGCAGAACTACCTTGCCCAGGCGTGGCACCACCCACAGTGGGCTGGGACCTCCCACATCAGTCATCAATCAAGAAAGTGCCCCCCACAGATAGTCAGTCTGACATAGGCAACCTCTCCATGGAGGACCCTCTTCCCAGGTGACTCTAGTTTGTGTCAAGCCAACAAAAACTAACTGGTACAATGCACCCACCACCTCCTAATGCATATTATATTCGACCCTGTCTTAGTGGTTGCTGGTAGAAGAGTGTTAAGTCATTGTGAAAGCTGTATCTAGAAAAATGGCTCTCTGCTAATCTGTAGGGTGGGAAGAAATGGAAGGGACAGTAAGGGGAGGCTACTGGGTGCAGTGAGGTATGCTCAGAGTACATTGTATACTTGATGCAAATAGTTTTGAGTTTGTGAGGCACGTGGTTTGTTCGCATTAACAGAGAAACTGATAACATTCAATGTGGGCTCCAATCTCTCTTTAGGAGATATTCAGGCTGACTTGTGTGCTGTCTAGCTGGAATAGAGCTTGGTTTTCCTGTGCTGGCTTGCATGCAATTGCTTAGCAAAAGAATTGCTTTGCCAACCTGAGTGACATAGAATTCCTTCATTAAAAATTGAAAACCCTTCTCCATTTGGCATCCCAGCTGTTTCTCTGACACATTCAATTTTTGCGTAGGTCAGTAAAACACAGCCACAAGAGTCGACAAGTTCCTGTGAGCAATCCACAGGTCAGTGGTACCTGACTTCAGCTCTACTGCCATCTCCAATGTCTGAGCTTTTGTTTTTAAACAGCAAGTGTAAATATGAATGGAGTACCACGTGGTATTTCCTTTTAGGCACACAGTGTATGGTCATTTTTGTTGTTGTTTTGTTTTGTTTTTCTCTCAGAAGTGCGTTCCCTTGTTAGGGCCCTCTTGGCTTCTCCTCTCAGTGCGCTTTCCTGAAGGAATTTAGATGCAGGAAAGGAAGGTGAAGTCACAGGACATGTCTAAATCGATCCTTAGGATGCTGCCATTAAGCAAAACTACTGCACTTTGTTTATGGGCGCCCTATTCGTGAGTCCACGGGACCCTCTGCAGCCCCCTCCTTCCACACCCAACCATGAAAGACAGCCGTCATGTTGAATAGCTCCTGGCTTCGGCCCTGGCCATCCCCATGGTGACCCCTGGAAGAATTTTGGAGCACACCTCAGTGTCTCAGTCTTTAACCTTGCAGAAAACATGGCCAGAAAGAAACGTGTGCCTAGGCCCTTAGTTATAGGGGAGATCAGAGGACAAATTAAGCCTTCCTCGTTGGTTCCATGTAAAATCTAATTACAACAGACAATTAAGGAAATGAAAGCAGGCGTGTTAATTAACAGATAGTGAGTTTACACATGTAAATAGTTCTTTGTATTAGACACGGGTTGAGAGTCCTTGAACGGCTGATGAGATATTTGCTGAAAATGCTGAAGAGCCACGTGGTCAGCCCTGTGTGTTCCAGGGTCACAAGCAGGTGTGTGTGTGGGGGGGGGGGGGGGACCTGGCTATGTCTGCCTGCTCTCGGTTTCTCTAAGTGACGTCTGAGAAAGTGATCTGCCTTCGTTGGCACTCTTGCTATGGGACGACCAGTATCATCAGTGTGCACAAACACCCATCGTGACTGTAACAGCCAGGATCTCACAATAGCTGCCACTCAGCCCCAGGGACAGTATTTATACGGCAAGGGCCTGGTACACACTGTGAAACAGCCGCCAGCTGCTGGGGAGCCTTGCCATCTGTGCAACACTAATACAGGTCCCCCTTCACACCCATTCCTCACTTGGACCCTTAGAAAGCACTGTGAGGCTTCCCACCCTATGCCGGGTAGGTACCGCTGAGCGAGAGCCACACCTGATCTCAAGTACCCAGAGTGTGTGGAGTTCTTGAGCCAGCTCCCTGCAGCTCGCACAAGGCATTAGATTTGTCTGTTACTGTACATCAAGTCATCCACGGACTTGAACCTTAAAACAATATACCTTTTAAATGTGTGTGTGTGTGTGTGTGTGTGTGTGTGTGTGTGTGTGTGTAAAGGCCAGAAGATGATCTTGGTTCTTGTTCCTCAGGTAACCATTCCACCTTGTTTAAGACAGGGTTTCTCACTGGCCAAGTAGCTGACTTGACAGCAAGCCCCAGGGATCATCCTGTCTCCTTATCCCCAGGAGATTGCTGGGATTATAAGCACATGCCACCATGCCCACCCTTTTTTTTGCACTATTCCTAGAGATCAAGCTTAGACTCTTGTGCTGAGTCAACCCCTCCCCCCAACCCCATCAGCATATCCTTATAGCCTCTGAGTATCTGCATAGCCTACCAGAATCTTCTGCTCCAGGTCTCAAGGAAGGTACCCATTCAAGTATCATCCAGGGTCTGAAGCACCATGTAAAACAGGGTCATTCAGGGAAGGGTCCTTGTCTCTGATCATAGATGATTGTCCTGATCAGACTTTTTGTCACCTTGACCCAGGCCAGGGTCAGGGCCATCTGAGAAGAGAGAACTTCAGTTGAGTAAATTCCTCCATCAGATCTGCCTATGGACAAGCCTCTTAGGGTATGAGAAGATGTGGCCTCTGTCATTCATTATGTCTTAACATTGCCCTGGGTCTTTATGTTCATCCCCTGTTGCTGTAAAATGTCACCATGGGTGCAATGCCTTAAAATGACATAAGTTTATCATCTGAAACTTGTTCATGAAGTTTCAATACAAGTGACGTCACTGGGAATTGATACAGATATCAGCAGGGCTGCAGGGACAGTCCCCTTGTCTTCTGGAGTCTTGCATCCTGTTTCCTGGCTTGTAGCTGACCCTCACCTACAGAGCCAGCCTCCGTCAGTCATCTCTGTTCCGAGCTTCAGGAAACCCTAATGTATACACATATCCCCAAGTCTCCTGCCTCCTACTTTGACCTCCAAGTCTTCCATGATGTCATCAGATCCTTACTAAATGATCCAGACTAACCCCATCCCCTTCAGCCCACCTTAAAACCATTGGTTGCACTTCACTTGCAAAGATGTTTGCTTTTCAAGGTAGTGTAGTTATCACTCACAGAGATATGTCCATGAACTCACTTTCTGGAGCAAAGAGCCTGCAGCACCTCAGTCCCTGAGACGCTGGAAGGGGACACCTAGATCAGGGGTGGGACTCAGCTCAGCAGTTTCTGCATCCACAGTGCCCACCAAGGAAGCGTCCTGGACCTCTGAGGAAGACTGATAAGGAAAACTCCCCCATGCCTAATGCTGTCCTGAACACCGGAGCTGGCCTCCCTAGCCAGCCTTAGCCAAAGCAGACAGCCCTCACCGGGACATGGATACCAAGTAT